GACCTGGAATGTTGAATGTGTGAATTATTACCACCAAAACTATTTCCCATTAGGTATTATTCAGCAGCTCAACTAATCTACACTTTTAAAAATTCATATTAAAGCTGAAAAAGACAAAAGAGGCAAAGACACCCAGACCCATTAGCATGCTAATAGTTAGCAAAACAGCACAGTTTGATGGATAGAGACTTACCCTACGCCCATGTTACAGTTGTGGGCTTCACAAAGGCCTGACAACTGTCATATGAAGTCAGAAAGTCAGTACGTAGCATGTATACAACAGGAGGTATAGTTCAGTCACAATGTGCTATACATACCAATCGTTTAAGGAAGTTAACATCAACAGATGCCACGGTAACATTAATTCTTATGGCGAAAAACTGTCCTGAAAAAACAAAAAACAAAGAAAAGAAAGAGGGAAAAGTTACATCAGCGGCAGTTTAATACAAAACTCAAACAAAAACCTTCTGAGACAAATAAACACACTTATTTGTTTTCATGCTGAGAGTTAGATGAGAAGATCAATACCACTCTCATCTTTGTCCATTAAATATCAAGTCTAAGTCTTGATATTGACCAAGTCCAAGTCTAATGGGCCGCTGGCTATAGCTTCATATTTATGGAACAAAGCTGAGTTTGGTATCAATCCTCTCATCTAACTATTGGCAAGAAAGCCAATGGGCATAATTCCCATAATGTGAAAATATTCCTCTCAAGTTTGAATAATGTCCCATACTATTTAAGAGCTGGGCATTAGGGAGCTATAATCACATATACTCTATGCACATATCATTTTTGCTTGACATTACAACGCTATGCAGACAGGCACAGATTACACCGGCTGTTTTCTTACTTGAAGAATTACAGGAGGCCGTGCAGTCACAAAAGCGAGGCGTTTCCCCTGAAGCACAGACAAACATGGTTACAGCAACAGAACCAACAGTGAATCCTGATGGATATTATGGGTGTCTGTGTTTTTGGTACTCACTACTGCAGGATCCTGTCCTAGGTTGTGGCGCCAGGTTGGGAGACTTGAGCTTCATGACGGAGCTAGGGAGATATAGAGGATTATGAGATAGAAATTGTATACATGCACACCTAGGCATACAGTGAGTACAGAATACAAAACAAAGGTATTTCTCACCATGGAAACTTGAGGAGTGGTTCAGACCGACAGACGTCCTCCAGGGAAGATGAGATTGTGCACCTCATAAACTTCTCATCAGAGGATTTCAAGTCCTTACAACGATTTTGACCTGATGGTGACAAAATTATCATGAGCTAAAATGTTGTGTGTGAATGTGTGTTTTTGTACGTCTGTCTTTATGAGGACTTTTTTTGGGTGTTAAATCTTGAGTGAGGATATTTATGCAAAGTCTTCATTTCTTCAAAGAGCCTTGACATTAATACATGGATTTTGGCTTGAAGTTAGATTTAGGTTTGTTAGACATGACAGATCTTTAAGGTTCGGGGCAAGGAAAGAAATTATATCAGGGGCGTCCTAACAAGTTAAGAAATGCATGTTTGCTTTTGTGCTCTTTTATTTCCATATTTGTATTGGCCAGTTCTTTTTTTAGACTTTGACAGTGAGGACGTTAAATTCAAATTTTGGTTCCTCCTCCCACCTTCTCCATTCACAGTTAAGGCTGCAACTTAGATGCTTGTGTGTCTGTTTACAATATTCTGTCTGTATTCCTGTGGGAGTTTTGTGTATCTGCACAGGTATATCTGTATTTGAGAACAGTGTGTGTTTTCTCACTTGATGCAAGCATTTTGCATGTTTGCAAAATACATGTTTGCAATTCATGATTAAAATGCAAAATTTAAGGTAATATGTAAAACATTGCGTCACCTCAGATTGACTCACAGGTCTTTTAATACACAGACTAACACTATACAACAACTAATCTATGACACAGTGTAACATCATTAATTGAAAATGCAGGGTTACATTTTTTATCATAATAAATTGAGAAACACTGTATGTTTGTTTTACTTCTATGTGTCAAACTCTTATGTTATACATGTGGCTATAGTGGCTGTTTATAAGAAAAGCATTAATGTGTCTGTGTGTTTCTGTGAATGTGTCAAGATAAATAAATAGGTAGGCAGATAAATCTACTGACAGACAAGTTGCTCACCGACTCTCTCCACCTCTCCAATGATTTTTGCTTGTATTTTCTTGTGATCTGCTTGTTGCAGGGCAGAAACGCTGGCATGCTGCAGTTCACACGCTGAGACAGCGCGGCTGAGCTTCAACACCACACTGCAGGTTTTATTTCTGGGAGAAAAAAAAATTCACACCACCGTGAGGAGGTGAAATGTGAAGTATACATATACATATAAATACATAACAAAATACCTACTGACATGTTTTTAGCTTATGTTGTCTTTGTCATGACAGAAGACCTCTTCTACCTGCAGAGAGAGAAGAGAGAGAAGAGTTGCAGTCATTTGCTTTATGGGAGAAATTTTATTCTGAAAAGTGGAGGGATGTTGCCCGTTTCTGGGTCATACTGACCTGAACATTTTTGCCACCCTGACAGACATCTCCAAAGTCTGATGATTTATTTTTGCAATCAAACGCATCTAACACCTGCGTGAGAGATGGAGAGACAGAGGCAGACAGGGATGTTTCCCTTTAATCTCAAACCCTGAGATTTGCCTTTACTTTGTATATGTAATGAATATATTGGACATATTAAGTAAAAACTTGTAGTCGCTGATTATAATATATTTTATCATTCTGATGTCTTAAATTTTGTTTTGTATAAAAATAAGATCTGGTTAAAAAATTGGTGCCGTCTATGTCTCACTTTCAGCCCTTTTCTTTCCATATATTCTCCTTCATGTTACCATTAGGAGGAAACTCAAACTCAAACCCAAAAATGTACACATTGTGGCTTTGAATAGATTCATAATATTTAATTGTTTGCAGGGACATAAAGTTATATAAGAAACCCAACAAAGTGGATGAGGGACAGTTTTCACTCTCACCAGATGTTTCACATCCATTGTAATATTTTGGTCAACGTTGACCACCACTCTTAGTAACATCCAAAAGTAAGCATCTGCAGAAAGAAATGAAATCATAAGTGCACAAAGATGCATCAATAAAACATTGTGATGGGACAAAAGGTGAATATTTGTTACCCTTATCGGAACAGAGTTGTCTGATGCTACAGTTTACGAATTGGGAACCTAAAAGAATAGAGAAAACTGATTTTTTTATTTTTTTAAAGAAAATGTACTGATAAAAAAATACATAAAAGCATGGTTAAGGCATTGTTTCTTCTATATATCAATAACACAATACTATATAGACTCTTTAATTATACACACCCACATAAAGCTGTTCTAAATGTGCATGTGTCAGACTAACCTGTGAGTGCTTTCCCAGATGCGGTTTGGTCGGCAGTAAAAGCTGTGATTGGAGATATGAAGTCGTGTCTTAAATTTCAATTCTTAAATAACTAGCCATGACGTATATCAAAGGATAATTCCAATTTGATAACAACTTGTCTCTTTTTCATAGTTTTGGCTATCTTTGGATCTACGGATGCAAAGGTGAACAGTAACAGCTGGAAGCAGCTAAACCGTCGACACGCAGCAAGACATTCAAATGAGTTGGGGTTTTTTCTCAGGCAGAGCTGCTGTTAAGTCTGACCGTGGTTTTACAATACCTGTACACACACACAGTTTTCCTGAGGGATTACTACTGAGACTTGTGCACTCACTTCATGCTTCACATCCAAGTGGTTTAAGTGATTTGCTTGTTTAGAAACTGTCTGATCCTCTCGACTGCTCATGTTGCTTGCCTCATTGGACTTTGTTTTAGCGATGTTGCTGTCTTCTCAGATCTCAGCAATTACAGTACTTTGTAATAATATGATGTATAATATCAAAGAAGACAAAAATAAAGACAAAAATATAATATCAAATTATCCTTAAATGTCTACTACTTTCTTTGCTTCTTTCATTTACTGACATGATAGTGTTATCATATCCTGCAGAAATGGAAGGGAAAACTTCAAAAAGTTGGGCCAAGTTAAAATTATCCTTAAATTCCCATTACTTGCAACAATTTAATGATATTATTATTTTATCATAACTAACAGAAAGGGTGGAAAAAACTAAATATGCATGTCCAAAATTCCGTATCATTATCATAACTGATTAAAATGATGGATCAAGCTACAATTTTTTTTTACTTTACTGTTATTTAAAAAATGATAATTTTCTTACATTATAATGTTATCATAATTGATACAAATGATAGCCAAGAGGACCAAATTGAAATTATACTTAAATTTTGGTTACTTTTTTTTTTAAATCACAAATTACTAATGTGATTACCATTTAATAGCATTTGCTGTGTGTTGTCTGACAGGTTTTTCTACAGAAACTCCCACTCACAGAGTGTCTTACATATCTAACTGTGGCAGCAGCAGTTTGCAAAACAGATACTGACATGGCTGAAATGATAAATAAATGAGCCGACATGCAGGCACGCAACAACAGCAAGTGGACCAAAGAAAAAAATAGACTAGAGAATGACACAGCCTAAGTGAATGAACCCTGTTCACTCAAAAAATCCTTATGTTCTTTTCAGAAAATCTGTTTTAAATGTATCAAAAGTAAAATGATTTTAGATTATTGACCTTGAGTTATGTAACAGAAGAAAGTAAGAGGAAGGGAGATGAGTATTAATCAGGGGGGAAGTACTGCAGTTAAGATAATAAGAGATATTATTAAGTTAAAGTGAAGCTTACCAGATGGAGATGGGTTTGACCGTGCAAATGGAGATGTAATTGCTGAAACAATAAATTTTGTCATTAAGGTTCTATATCTATCTATCTACTCTCTAAATTACACACATACATACAGGCATATACCAATAAACATACACTGTATATTCAGACAAATACACACAACAGGCATAAGTCACCTGAGGACACCCCATTAGGAGTCCTTCTGTGAGTGGAAACCCCACGTCTCACCCGTCTCAGTGCTACAAGACACATAAAAACATGCAACATTCAACATCCAACATGCTCTACGCACATGCACATCTACTGTACAGTATCTAGAGAAGTGTTAGTTCTAATGTTAGTGAAATGTTCTGCATGAACTGATGAGCATTATTTTTGATCCTCACATTATTCTGTACAAAAGCAACACAACATCAATCTTGAATAGGGGGAATTTGATTTAAAAGAGGAAGGAATATGGCTGGCTGACTCTACTGACAACCTTTTGACTTCCTGAAGGTAAGGACAGGTAAACTAAAAGGAAAAACATGAAAGAACAGGCTCTAGAAACCACTCCAGTCATACAGGATAAGACGCATGCTCAAGAATTTCTGTACAACAAAATGCAAACATGCCGTGCTATGTTTTAGCTAGAATTAAAGTTTTTTTACATTCATGAATTTTTTTAAGAAAGGAGAGAAAAGACTAGCCTGCATTCTGTTATAAATGCAGTTAATTAGTTAGAAAAGTTCTTGATGCACAAGGTTGCAGCTTGCTCCGTCTCACCACACAGGAGGTGAGGGTCTCTCTGCCTGGCATTGGGACTGGTCAGGCCCCAGTACTGAGCGTTCCAGCCAATCACAGTGCCGTCCTCACAGAGGCCATGGTTACCCAAGTCCTCCCACATCCGGAACAGGTACAGCTCCACTTTTCCGAGCGTGGCTCCCGGGGGTCTGTCTCTGGGACGGCAACCCAGCCACAGAGAGCCATAAGGGGGGATGGCCTGAGCGATGACGGTCCTTTCGGCCACCATCTTCCCATCAACCTGGAACATTCATACACACCTTGTGTCACTAATATAATATAGCAGATAAAGAGAGAGATCATTTAGTGAAAGTTCAACAGTTTGACCTCAAACACAAAATATTAATTATTGGGTCTTATTTTCATCGTTTTGGCCATGTCCACCAGTAATAACATGGTCAACATGACCAAGTTAATTGCTGAGCTCTGGGAGTGTGAAACATTGCTAAAAGCAATTCCAAGTGAGCAAGAAATATGCATTCACATACCGGTACAGGTTTTAAACAAACCCCCAAGTTAGCCAGACTTATTTGGAAGAGAAATTAAGACTCAATGGTAAAAGTATTACCCAAACTTTCAGTTGTAAGCAGCCATCACAGCTTATAGACCAAGTTTCAGATTTAACTGTTGCCTACTTTGGCTGTCAGGTCATTTCCAAATGAAATGGTTAAGATAAATTTACTGATCAACCTGTCTAACTGGCTGTGTTTTTTTGACCTCTTTAACCTACTGTACTCTAAGTTGCTGTGGTTAGCTTTGTTAGCTTCATTCCCAAAGTAAAAACATAATGCAGCTGGTAATTTTTTTGTGTAATGCAGTACTTTAGTCGGTTGAGGCATTTTTTAGTTGTATAAAAATGCAATATATGGTTTTATACATGATATTACAAGATGTGTACAAACCTTACAGGTATACGTTTGCAAACTTCCTGGATAAGCCACAAGTAGCCGTCAAAATTAGCATTAGCATTTTCTGACTTGCTTAGAATTGCAAGAATAGTAGTTCACTGCAATACAGTGTCTATTTTCATACGATGTATAAGTCAAAAGTCTATTCAGCTTAACTGCACATATTTAAATGTGCTCATCTAAACTTTGTTTTATGGTTCATTGTTTTTCACTCCAAGCTCCATTTACAATAGCCTATGTGGAATTTTGCTAAATTAACTTATTGAACACGGTAAACAATCTGTTTTATGCAAACACTATTTGACTTTGTCAACTGACACAGTAAAATGCTTCTTACAGATTAATGACAATCTGATAATACAATATTTATTATTAGAATACATGAAGTGGCCAATTTTGCACTGAGTATTTTGACTTTTGATGCTTTAAGTAAGCCTTCATTACTTCAGTAACATGTGACCAAAGGACTTACTACTGAATTGCAGTGGAGCACTTTATGGTATTACCGTTACTTAAGTAAAGGATCTGAATACTTAATTCTCCACTGGACAACAGCAATTACCTCCAGGCTAAAGGAGTTGCGTGGTACATCCCTCCTGAGGCACACCCTGTGCCAGTGAGTCGGGGACAACTGGAGAGGAAATCGGTGTCGGACCCTTAGCAGCCACCCATACAGAGCTCCGTCATCTCCCTCCAGACCCAGCTCAGGCCTGGGTGCGTGGACCGAGCTGTAAGAGAAGGCAACCCAGGGTCCGGGGACCACAACACGGATGTCCACGCACACAGTCATCTGAAAGAGCAGCGGCATGGCGGCCCTGTCCTGCAGGGTCCAGTGGTCCTCGCAGCCATTTAATATAGCTTTAGTGTCTCCCAGGAAATAGCCAAGTGCTGGAACGGGGAGAAAGAAATGTAGCTGTGAAGGTTTAATTTTACTGCATGGCTGCTCATAGTCTCATATTAACTCTAAACGCTCAGAACCACAGAACATTTTTAATCTTACACTTTCTTTGCAAAACCCAAAGGAGAAACTCAGTCCAAAAATAGCTGACCTTTAAGCTTTAAAGTAGCATCAGTTTTATTACTTTGATTATTGTTTTTGTAGATTTAGTCTAGTCAGTGGTTTTTGGATAAAGTAAATATGCTAACTAATACAAAACAGTTAGTACAACAAGAGAACAGGAGAACTTTGGCCACCATAGTGTGCCATTTGGGGTTAAAAGCCTCTTTAGGTGTGGGGGTGGGGGTGGGGGTGTAAAAGTCCGTATCTCCTTTCACAATAATCACCTGTGGGTGGAGCGGCTGCCAATAGCAAAAGCCAGATGACTTGAAGGAAACGGTGTGTCCATCTCCACTGTCCTCCAAAGCCATACATCCTCCTGGAAACACAAAGTGACATAAATTCATATTAAATGAGAAAACCCTCCTTCTCCTTTGACTGGTTTCATTTCCCTTTGCTTTGTTGTTCTTGCTGCTTACTTCCCATTCAGTCATGGCTGTGCCAAATATTCAAATTTCATTTCAAGTTTTTTTGGGGAAAACATCAACTGACTTTCTTTGTTTGCCAGCTTCCTCTTCCCATATTCATGTAATTGCCCTCTTCTTCCGTGCAGACTGTGGATGTGCTCACAGGGCATCATTGTTTCCACCGTGGGATTACACAAGAAATTCTCCTTTACAGTCGGTAAACCAAAACGATCTAATAATATCTGTGGCTTTGTCTGCGCTGAGGGTTTGACTCCAGGGCAGGGGTGGACACAGCAGACTGGGTTACATCTCGTTGCATTCTTACCTTTATAAGTTACAGGTCATTGTTGCATGTGTCTTTTTGTTGTTGATACACCTCGTTTACGCCTGTAAAATTTAGATACAGCACAGTATCACACGATGCACAGTGTTTTGTCACACTGTGGGGCCCCAAAAGGAAAATATAAGGCATCAAAAGTAGGAAAATACTGATACAGCATAGACTTTTGTTTCTCTGTTTTTACCTTTGTTTCATTGTGCAATGACGTAATCTGTATTATTACATTCCCTCTTTATAAGGGACAGCAGAACAAGCTGAAACCACAACCTTAAGATATTATTTAAGAAACCTATTATGGCCAGTGTGAATATCTACTCTCCTTTTAGCTTTGTCTTGGTTTCCACATCTCCTGAGGGGAAATAATCTGGATCTTTAGCTGATAAATGCTGATAAGACCCTGAGACTGAACCAAAAACTGGAGTAAAATGTAAAGATGTGAAATATGCTAAAATGTTCTGTACCGCAGAATAAAAGTACAAGTTTGGTGATAGTTTTCTCTGGGTTCATCTACAAACAACCCTCTTTATATTACATCCAGTCATGTAATCCATTGTTAATATAAGAAATATTGAATAGCATCCTAAATATCTGACAAAATACTGATTTTTCCCAACTAAAAGCATCATTTAAACTCATATAATTTGCTTATTTTAATATATTATAATGAGCTCTCATTCGGAATTAACTTTTCAAATACACGCAGTCCATACTAAGCCTGTATCTCTAGGAGTCACCTATACAGGGAACATTTGAATAGTTTGAATCACTCTCTGTTCACAGCTGCTGGAGCAGACATGCCAAACACAAACCATCTTCAAACCTCTTCCACCCAATCTGCTCATTACAGCTGACACATGTTCAGGTTTTAGGCCCAAATGTTCAAACAGTTCTTTTATTGGGGAAGAGTTTCATTATGATCACAGCTCAATATGTCAAAATGAATAAATAAATCCTTATCCATATACACAAAGCCAAACATACTCCATCCTTAATGAGCAAAGTTGGATAAAAACTAAGCAGCTATTTGTCTCATGTGTGCCCACAGTGTTATCTTGTCTGAAACTGGCACTTCCGATGAAATTAATAGTTGGCTAAGTGGTGATTTATGAAAATGATTTCCTGTTCCTTCAGATTTTCTCAAAAGTCCTATTGTTTTTTTCTCTTAACCTCGCCCTCTGCCTGGCGCCTGAACACCAACATTATCATTACCGCACAATAAAAGTGACACACGCATTCGTGCATGTGCATGTTACTGTGTCTTATTTGTATTGTAATACAGGGAGTGTCTGCAGTCACACAGAAGCTGATTAAAAGACAAAGCTGATAGACAGGGTTTGCTGGCTTTAAGTGTGCAGCATCAGATAGTTCGAATAGGTCAAATCATTTATGCACTGATCTGCAATCTAACTAACGATTTAATGTCTAATTGTGTTGATCCATATCATCAGTGTCACTTTGAGAAATACAACATTAAACCTTTAAGTAGACTTTTTTTTTTCTTTGCTCAATGAGAAATAAATATAAATAAATGTCCAATTTCATGGTGATATCTGCTAATATCTTAATTTAAAGCTAAACCATTCGATCACATATATGAGACTGTATTTGCATTTATGCTATCTGTTGATGTGATTATCATATGCTGTGCGTGTGTCACATCAGAAGAGGTAACACTACCTGTTCAAGTCTTGAAGCTATACACTACTATTATCAGCTATTCATGTTCCCACAGTCTGACTCTCTTTGAAGTCAAAGAAAAGTGTGAGAAAACAGTGCAGAGACATTTCTAGAGTTGCTGATTTTTTCTTTCTTGAACATCTATTGTTAGAGCCATTTTTAAAAATCTTTTTTACTGTAGTTACAAATATCAAAGCTCTTTGCCAGAATCACCCATGACCTTTTATATAGTTCATGTTACAGAGGAAATATTAAGATTATTATCTTTTATATCTATTATATTATCAAGTTCTTTTCTTACACTGTCGTAAGTCTTAGAATTTCTTACCTGATGCTCTCTGCAGTCTGTTTATGCTTCTGTGTGTGAATGTATATATATGTATATGAATCCTATGGAGGAGGACTTGTCATCTTCACTCCGGTCACACATTGCCTCCCCATCATTCCCGTACTCTCATTCATGAATCCAAAGTTGCCACTGTTGAAGTATCTGTCGTCCTCCCTCGCTTGCTGGCTCCTCTTCCCTCGCCTCTGTCCTCAGTTGCTCTCTGTCGCTCCTCCTGTATCCACCTGCCTCTTACACAAGAGCATCGCCTGCTCCTCACCGTCTGAGGTGCGTGCGGGGGAACTCAGAATTTGTGAAATGTGATTTCTGCCTGCGGGAGACAGTGGAGCAAATAATGACACACCCCCTACAGAGGGAGTAGGAGGAGGGAAGAGACAGACACACAGAGATAATAAACAAAAAAAGTTGGACAGTGCTGCAATGTATCTCAATGAACTATGTCTCTAACTATTCATCTATCTCTGTTTTTTGTTTTGTTTTGTTTTTTCAATCTGGCTATGACTGGAGGGCAGCAGCTGGTATTACAGGATGCAGGGGCCAGACAGTTCCTGGACAGAGTATTAGCCTTTATCTGGTGTGTGTGTGGGTGTGTGCATGCATGAGTGTATATGAGTCCATAAAAAAAAAAACAACAAAAAAAATAAGATAGTACACAAGATCAGCAGCAAATTGCAAAAACAGGCAAAAATTACATGGTTGGCTCAAGTATGAAATATTAGATTCAGGCTGACAAACCAGTCAAACACCTCCTGCCTCTCTCTCTTATTATGTCTGCATCACTCACACACACACACACACACGCACACACACACACACACACACACACACCCCGATATTGGGGCTGTGAATTTGAGGAATGGCATCTGACGTCAGACGTAAAATGAAACCAAACAACACAGGAGCAGCCTGAGGGCGACACAGCTCTTCAAATCACAGTGTGTCTTCACTTGCCTTAGTGTGTGTGTGTGTGTGTGTGTGTGTGTGTTTGTGTATATGGTGAGAAGGCATCTAGCTAATTAAATAGTGGACCATTTTTTTTTATCCACAAGGGGGCAATAAAGACTACAGGGATTTTTCTTTCCACCGAGGCTCATGTGTCAGCCTTTGTTCATTTTTACTGTGGGATAACAAAACAGTATCAGATCAGTGGAGCAGAGCAGAGCTGCAGCACGTTACTGCTCCTCTTCAGTGACACAGCACTTTTGGTTGAGTTGGTTGTCAGTGTGTGTGTGTGTGTGTGTGTGTGAGAGAGAGTTCAAGTTCAAGCTCAAGTGAATCAAAATCCCACTGGCAAGCTCTCTTCACTCTCTCCTCTTTTTTCTTGCGCTACATTAAACACGTCCTAATTCTTTTTGTTTTTTTGCTCAAACACACACACACACACACGCCTGCACCTGTGACAGTGTGTTTGAGATGAATGTGTGTCAACTGGTCTGCACAGGGAGAATCCAGAGGCAACAAATTATTCAAACTGGTAGAGATGGTACAATCCAAAACAGGGGAGGGGGCTTGTCAGAGTACATTACTAACAACTGTATGTGTGTGTCTGGATTTATTTCTCCAGGGGAGGTGGGGTGATTTTAACGTTACCAGTGCTGGTCCAAGTTTTCACCCCCCATCCCCACGGTCCTTGCTGGTCCATCCGGAGCGATGTCCCTGTGTTTAGAAATGAATCTGTGAGGTTCTTCCACGGGAGAAGCTGCTCGTCCCTCCGCTTTTTCCAAAATGAACCCGTGAATGTTCAGACAACCACCGGATTACTTTAATAGCATTTGCCCTAAAACGACAAACAGGTGGAACATATATACTGGCTGGTCAGACCAATTAAACAGAAGTGGGAGGGGGTGGCCAAAACACAAAAAACTACAAATTAAAAGCAGACTGAAAGCTTGTGGGTAACTCAATATCAAGTACTACAAGATAAACAAAGTAACTCTAAACAGAAAAAAAACAAAACTGCAAAATACACACAGAAAGGCTCTTTCCCTAAATTTCCCCAGCTTGCTGTAGCAGGTGTTTGGTACAGGCCAGGGCCCGCAGGTGTAGGCCTTTAACACTGCTCACTGCAGGACTGATAGAGTGGGGTCCAATGAGAGAGAGGAAGTCAAGAGTTTTACTTGGAAGAGACCCAATGTCTCCAGAAACAGCAGCACGGAAAAGGAAATGATACAAATGCAATTGAAGGAAAACATAACTTCAGTCTTAACAATACAAAATTAACTAAATGTGAAATAATGTATGTAGAAAATGGTGCTACACTTAAATGTATAATCATGTTAATTTTGTAATTATAAAAAAAAAATGTGTTACTGAATGGAAACCGAAATGAGTGAAAAGGTTTATGCAAAAACTAATGACATTCCCATCAGCCTTGGCTGTGCTTTGTGTTTAATGCAAAATATTGCAGCAGATTATTTTACATCTGAAGTGAAACTCAACAGCTCCTACACTGGTCTACTTTACTGACTGGATCTACCGGGCACAGGCCCAAAGGGCCCCAGGGTTCAGGGAGCACCTCGGCCAGATTCTCTTTTTGAAGTGACTATTAACATTTCCACTTGGAAAGTCAATCAATAGACAACTAAGAGACCTAAAATGACCACAAAGAGGCTCAAAATGACCACGAAAAGTTATAAAATTACAAAGGAATGCAAACCAGCCCCAGATTTACAAGAAAGAGACAAAACAAGCCCAAAATGACGGCGAAGAGAGACAAAGACAATGACAAATGGAGACAAAATGAGCACAAGGAGTTGCAAAACAGCCACAAAGAGACTCACAACGATGACAAACAGACACAAAATGTAGTTTGTAGTCGTTTTGTGTCTCTGTCAATATGAAGGAAAAGTAAGGGGGCCCAGGGGCCCATTGTCTCACAGTCCGTCCACAACTTGACTTATGAGACTAAACAGCAGCAACAGCGGAAGCAGCAGCAGGAAACTTAATTTGGAGAGTCGGGGTGTGTTGGTGGTTTCTGGCAACCTCGCAGAGTCCTGTGTGTTTCACGCCTCAGGGCTCAATCTTGAGTTTGAACTAATGGACGATTAGTTATGGAAAGAAAGGCAGTTTTATTTTGCATGATGTGTCTGTTCAACACTTTCTGAAGACTTTATTGTTTTGATTTTTTAGTTAGACCTTGTGGATTGAAGACGTAATGGTTTCCAAGAAGTAGCCGTTTTCTCGTTTATACAGATGATGCGGGAGAGCAGAATGCTTTGTGTGTGGATTATATTTAGAAAGAACTGCATTAAGCCCTGAAAATGCATAAGTGCTATAGTGTTTTACAAAAGACGACGCAGCCCACAGTTCGTGGTACCATCAGCTTGAAGGTCAGGCATGTGCTTTTGAAGAAGAACCAATCGGCAGAGCTCATGGGTGGGAAGCTGGTGGATGGTTGTGACGCCTGCATAGATCCTGAACAATACTCATTCAAGGCGAGTGTCAGAGAGGAGCATGGATTAACAATAGCAAGCACTCCCACACACACACACACACACACACACACACACACACACACACACACACACACACACACAACAGGGACGAATTCAGGAATAAAAGGCAACAAGCTCCTCAGCTCCAGGGGCCACAACCACAAGAGAACAATACCTTCAATAGTTGTTGATGCTCAAAGCGTTAATGCTTTTAACAGTGAGTGAAAATTTATCACTTCAGGCTCCGAGTGATCAAACACAGACAGTGAATAAAACCTGTAACTGAATCCATATCCAGATTTAAAAAAAGAAAGAAAAGAAAGAACATTATGTGGAGGTCTTGTCTGGTTGGTAGAGCTGATTGGATACAGTATATCCCCAGTTTTGGATGATATCCAGCTCCTGCGTGATTTGAATGCACTTGTTGTAAGTCACTTTGAACAAAAGCATCTGCCAGATGAATGTGATGTAATGACTGTTTTCAGCATTTCTTTATCAGGGGGAGACGCTTGATGACTTTGTCTGTGTGTGTGTAATGACAGGCTAACTATATGGCACCGGAATAGACTATGTTTCTAGTGCACAATTCTACTGAATAGAGAGAAACGTGATCGGCTTCGGGTCAGGGGTCAGGTTAGGACTAAAAAGGTTGATAGCTGTTTGGCTCTGGCAAAACAAAATGTCAGGTCCATACAGTAGTCGGGAGGGAGGGATGAAAATCTGTTGGGTAAAGCTTGAAGAATAGACGAAACCTACAAAGGCTGAATAAACAACATATAAAGATCGTTTCCATTAACTCGCACATATGTTTCAGTCCTTGACAGTCAGGAAGGAGCATAAACCTTTCGTAAATACACGGGACGACACACCGAACGACAGCTCGGTGAGTAACCACTGGAGTTCTGGGGGTAGACGACTCAAGAAATCCATCGAGAACGCCAACGGTTGCACGTTCTTGTACCAAAACAATCGTGGTCAGCAAACAGCATCTTGCACTGTTCCTTTACAGTGATGTTTGTGTCAGAGTTGGGGTGAGATCCTGGATGGAGAGGTGGTGCGGGCAAGGCCGTCTGTATTGCCTAAAGAGGGAACTGGAGGAATCACCACTCCTCTTTTAGTATTAATCTTCTGATATGTCAAGAGTTTGCACTGGGAATAAATGTAGACCCATTGAAAACGGTTGACACAGCGTTCTGTGGATAATACAGAGTAACTGGGGCAGTGTTTCTGGAAAGAGATGTGGCTAATCTTTCAGTGCTATGAAACGAAAATCCACTCACCTTCACTGAGTTGAGTATAAGATGTGGCTTAACAGTATTTTCAAAAGTTTGAAGTCAGATTATGTTTACATAACTCCTTTTTCAGCCCTGTCAAACCACATTAAAACTCATACAGACACATTCGCATGCTCAAGTTGTTAAAATTCAATGAATGATTCAAGATATTTAAGTAAAACACTCACAACAGATGCGCAGATGTGAACCTTTCCGTCTAAATATATGAGCAGTTGCATTACGACTTGCATCAGAGCTAAAACCACGTCAGACAATGTTTCCTTCATTTGACTTTATTTGTCCAGCATTAAAGTAGAAATACTCGAGTTATACAGATGATTGCCTCATGTCATTGTAGCTGTATTTGTGCAACTTGATATGGCGGACAGATAGCGGTAGCCAAACAATGTGATCGGATCTAAAGCGAGTTTTGGAGACGTGAAAAGTGTGGCACTTCCTCTGTGATGCGGTCGCATCCAGGCCTGACCTCAGCTGATCCTCAACCTGTTTGGCTATTTGGGGAAAAACAAACCTCATTCACATGCCACACAGCACTAGCAACAAGCAGGTAACCATGGATACACTGCATTGGAAACCCCTCTTTCTCTCTCCTTGTCTTTACTGACTCCGACTTGCTTTTTCTTGTTTGAATCTTTTTTCTCTCGACCTTCAGCCTCTATTAATTCTTCGCATCTTTCTCTCCTTCTTTTCCTCTCTTCCTCACAAGGATCAGCATTCTTGTCTGCAGCATGCACAGCGGCTGCTCAGACTACAATGAACCAATTCCCAGCCGGCAGTCACCATGGCAACCGGGGGCGGGGCGGGGTGCGAAAACACAACATCATCCCATGCTCAGACAGTGGTGATCTGGTCGACCACTCGGGTGCTGTCGTTCATTTCGACACACTCCACCTCCTGTCTCTGCCCGTCTCCGCCGGGCCGGTGGCCCCGGCTCTTGGAGGGGGGCAGGAAGGTGAGGAGGGTGGGCAGGAACGCCAGCGTGTGCAGGGCCGAGCAGCCGGCCGTGAGGGTGAGGCAGCGGAACAATGTGCGTGTGAGGTTGGAGCGTACGGAGCCCACGGGCACCAGGGCAGCGCTGTAGCAGATGAGCGTCTGTAGGGAGGGAACGCCGTGTCTCTCCAGCGCCACTCTCACCCAGCGAGTCCTGCTCTCACCCCGACCCGAGGCGAAGCCACAGAGGAGGGGGCCGCTGCAGTCTGCCGAGTGCCCCAAAGCTGAGATCAGACACAACACAGACATGCAGTCCAGCTCCACACCCCATAAGGTCATGAAGCCCAGCACCCCGAACTGCACGGAGAGCAGGGTGAGGCCCAGCCACACGGAGACCAGCGGCTCCACCACGGCCAGGGAGGACAGACCCAACAGGAAGAGCACCGCCAGCAGTGAGTGTCTGAGCGGGGAGCTCACCGCCGCAGCGTAGCGGTCCAGGTAGACGAAGGAGGGGTTGAAGATTAGGAAACGAACGCGTGAGGTCAGTGACAGGCGCCGCAGCGTGTCCAGCAGCACTGACATCTCCTCGCGTTTGTTCTCTGTCGTCTTGGCCACCAGGAAGATCCGCGATGCGGCCACGTCAGGCTCCTCGCCCTGACCGCGCTCTGCGAATATGATGTCGTCTGCGAAGTGGGCGAACTGTGGCTCGCGGAGGAAGGAGTGGCGGAGTGTGCGGGTGAAGTTTTCCCGTGACTGGCTGGTGGACTGGTTGCGGTCTGTCAGGTAGTTCAGGTACGCCTCCAGCCAGCTGATTCTCTGGAAGCCTTTGGCGTATTCCAGCAGGTCCCGCTGCACCGAGGCATTCCAGTAGGGGGCGCTTTCATAGATATAAAATCCAATGACGGGGGAGTACGAGCTGAAGTATCGCTGCTGGGCACGGGTGTACAAGACTGTCGTCGTATCCATGGCAACCAACGCACTGGGGTCAGAACCCTGGGTCACCTGTTGGCAACAGAAGATATTTGTTTCAGATTAAAACGTATGTTTCCCTTTGTGTTAGAGAGCTTGTGTGTCTGCAATCCTGTGTAATCTTGGTGTGTGGATGTTCACAGATGGCAAGAAGCTGAGTCACATGACACATATACTGTTTGTACATGTACATGGAAAACTGATTGGTTGACCCAGTATCTGGTCAGGAATCTTTGGGGTGTCCATTTTCCTCAAGGCATTTAATATTATTGAAATCGTGTTGGTTTTCTTTCTTGTATTGCTGTGATGTGTGTGTGTGTGTGTGTGTGTGTGTGTGTGTGTGTGTGTGTGTGTGTGTGTGCCTCACCTGTAGGAAGCCCATCAGTCCAAAGGAGATGTAAACCAGGTAGAGCAGAACCACAAAGGGTTTGACATAAGTATTAGTGATCCAGTCTCCATAGCAACGCCTCACACACCCCAGCAAAAGGTGAGAGTCCTGAGGATGAGGGTCCATGCTGGTATTGGGGTGTGTGTGAGGGTGTGGGTGTGGGTGTGGATGTGCGTGTGTGGAGTTCGCCACATGACCGTGTCCGTGTGAATTAGGGTTGTTTGCGCTATGTGGGTGTGTGTGCGCATGTGTGTGAGTTAGGTTGGGATTTGGTGGGTGAGCATGACTGTGTCCGACCACGTGTGGTGGGTTGGTGGTTTGCGTCTCGTCCTGGTAACGGGTGTACATTAAACACCTGTACCAGGCCGGTTTGGAGTCGAGCCGGTCCGGTTTGGGGACTCTGCGGCAGAAGCAGCCGTGTCTGTATCCGGTCTCTAAGTATCCTGTAAACACCAGGCAGGAACTGTAGAAGGACAACATGTAAACATAGCTGATAGTGACGGCTAAGGCGGCCGTGCGGCAGAAGAGCCGGACAGCTTCCATGTTGGTGAGCGGCGAGGCGGCCAGGCCCAGGGTCATCAGGTGGAGCATGGTGGAGCCGGAGAAACGCAGCATGACATCCTCAAAGACGCTCGCCACGCGCTCCTTCACGTGCTGGTCCTCCCGGGTTCGCCGCCACGACGACAGCATCTCGAAGGAGCCGAAGAGCCCGTGACCTGAGGGGAGCCAGAAATAGAAAAGTATATTATATCAGGGGAATTGTACTATATTACCAATTTACCCAGACGAAATTACTCAAGGATGACTTTTTTATGATTCTTTTATGTCTCCTTTTTTATGTCTCATTTTATGTATATACTATAAAGCTGCACCGATCGATACTTTTATATCAAGAGCTGGTCAAATCAAAGTTATAGAGATGGTCGGACACAGACGGCCCTAATCTGATGTTGGAAAGATGTGGGTGGAGGGCGTTTCTGAAGATATCCGACCATTTGACAAACACTTTGGACGGAGAATACTGGCCCCTTAATTTATAATTATCATGACTCTGCAGTTTCCCTCAGTGAGGTGCATTTTAGTTTCTCTCAGCTCAATGTTTCGGTCTTACAGCTAACAGCTTTAGTGTTTGGTTCACTCTCACCACTCTGATCGACTGTGAGAACCAGTCTCTGGTAAATGCACCTTTGACTTCTCTTGAAAAAAATAGATCTCAATGAGACCACTTGATTAAATAAAGTCCGTATCAATGTTAAAGGTGGATCTGTGTCTGCTGCATGTGTGAGTGAGCAACTGTTGCAGCTTGTTGCACTGCCCCCAAGTGGCCAAAAAACCAACGGATGCAGCTTTAAATCACAACTCAACGTTTTGTTAGAGCAGCTCTCCATCTACCTCTAACATCTACACCCCCACCTTGATCTCACAGACAGCCACAACTTAAACTACGCCATGCTAACCTCAGTATTTAACATTCCTTCCAACAGCACAGAGACACAACTAAATAGAAAAAAAATAAAAATCCTCAAAAACAAAGTTGTCCCTTTGAAGTCCCAAAGACATAAGAACTACCTAACTTCCAACGAACACCTTTCCTTTGTCTCGAATCCCTCGATTGCACCGAGCTTGGAAACAATTTATTCATTCTGAGGAATCACAATGTCGCACAAGGGAGTGTAATAACTCAGCCTGCCTGCTTTTGAACAGTCCTCTCTACATAATGTCACACTTCAACCCCATTTGAACTACAAATATGTGAAATGACAGTTATAAGACACCATGGAAACACAGTCTCTCAACCCTGGTTGAGAAATTGTACCATTGCAGCAGCAGCAGCAGCAGCAGCATGAGAATACGACTCATATCCAGCTCTCAATTTAGAAATTATACGATTTAAAACTTAATATTTCCAAAATTTTGAAGTAGTACAACTGAGAAATAATCTCCAAAATTTCTAAAGATAAATTTTATCTTTAAAGTGTGTAAAATTTGATTCACTGACATACATCAATGTCCATTTGCACTGGATGTGACTGTATATGCTGCATCCATGTCTCATGTGCATGCACATACATGTTAATATACACGCAGCAGATGGTTTTTAATGGTTTCCTCTATGGTGGTTGCCATGGCACCCATGAGTCACCAGTGACACACGTACCCCCCACCACCCGCCCGTCCCTCTCTCTTCAGTGACCTCACCATGGCGAAACACTTAACACCTTCGCAGAGGCGTAACATACCGACACTTCAGGCGTGGGTGCAACTGAGAAAGTCTGCGGATTTTTTGCGTGTGTGCGTGCGTGTGAGTGTATTTGAAAGAGAGGGAATTAGTGTATGACAGGGAACGAGGTGGGGAGGTTAATGTTGCAGAGAGAGAAGATGGAAGTGAAAAGACAGGCTGGGGACAGCACTCGCCCAAGGATTTTTCTATTTACCAGCCTCAGATAGGCTAATGTGCTCTCATGGTCAAACACACACACACACACACACACTCAGACAGTACTGCAGGAGAATATAGCCAGAAGATAAGGATGTGTCTTCTGCCAAAACCATTTCAGTCCCTAGATATCACTATTGTGTCATAAAATGTATTTCAGACACTGAAACCTCTCAGTTTAGACTGTTGATTATGGATAGACTGGCTATCAAATTGCAACTTTGCAGAGCCCAAGGTGGCGTCTTCAAATGTAGTTTAGATCGACTAAAGGCTGATAACCCAAAGATATTCACATTATTATAAAATATTTAAACCTAAACCTGAGAATGTGAAGCATTTTTTCCAACATTTTTGTTCTTCTGTCGATTAATCGATTTTCAAAATAGTTGCTGATTGTTTATTTTACTTAAACCAAAAACATTTTTGTTGATACTTAAAAAGTTTTGAGGTTCAATATCCAGTCCTAGCAAACACACACAAACTCTTCAATCTCTACCAATGTAAACGTTTTGCAGATGGACACTGTTGTAAGTAAATTAACTGACGGATGATCATTCAGAGAACGTTGTTTACTACCCCCCCCCCCATCATCAACATCTATTTGTGTTTTGTACCAAGCTTTGCAAGTTAACAAGTTTCTTATGTCTGAGAGAAAGATGCAAAATCCTGTCACTTCTCCACATTTCTAAAACATTACATAAACAGTTTTACTCCCTATTCTTAATCCTATCTTTCACTGTAGTACAGCCACATTATTTTTTTTTCCTCTCCTCACACTTCCTCCCACATTTTTCTGTCTGCCCACTGGCATTCTGAAAAATCCTCCTCCCAGCCTGCCTGTCTTCCTTCTAACTACAGTTTAACTTCATTTTCTACTAAGAGAATCCTTAAATCAGCCCCTATTTGGAGTGATATTTCATCACCCCCCCCCTTCTGCATTTATCCCCCCATGTCTCCTCTGTTCTCTGCAGTTATTTTAAGCCTAACAGCAGCCTTCCCTCCTCCACATTACAGAGTAATTATGGTATAGAGTACATGTGTGCATGAGTGGTTGCGTACAGCACATCGTACAGTATTTAGTATGTATGCGCTCAGGATAAAGTGCCTGTACGCCTTCACACATATGGCATGCATTTTTTATTTTGCTCCTGGTTTGTTCATTCTGATTGACTGACTTAACTCAGTATTGAACAAACCACACATGAATACTTGAACGCTGCTGGTAGATTTCTCACTCTGGTACATATAACTCTGGAAAAAAAACTAAACAAAGAAATGCTTGTAAGGAGATTTTTTGCTTTTCAGCAAAGTTATTTCCTAAAGGCAAATGAATACATTTAGGAAATTTTTTTTTTTTTTTTTTTACTGTCCTCAAGTTCATGACAAAAGTAAACATGTCTGTATAAATGCAGTTTGTATTAGCGCCCCGCGGATTTTCCTTGTAAACAAAGCGTCTGTTTGCACTCATTTTAAACTCACTGTGTTTATCCTTGAGGTTTAACAAACATATTGAATGCATTTTCTGCCTCATTTGAAAAGCCTATTCATGACAATTTTGAAAATCCTACATTGTTTACATCCCCGCTATGAGTCTTCTTCACTGCCTTTGTTGGCCCTTTACACTCATGGACCTCAGTCACACGCGCCGTGATAGGCTATATCTGAAGTGGAAGGGCTGCAGCTAAGGGTGTTTCTTATTACTGATTAATCTGCTGATTATTTTCTCAATCAACCAATTAATCATTTGGTGTACAAAATCAGAAAATTGTGAGAAATGCCTGCTGTAATTTCCCTCAGTCCACGATGATCTAACCAACAGCCCAAAGCCCAAAGATATTCAGTTTACTCTCACATAAGATGAAGAAAAGCATCAAATTCACACATTTCAGATGCTGGGGTGAAAAAATGAATGAAAAAATTTATGAAAATATTTGCAGATTCATTTTCTGTCAATCGACCACTTGATTAATCGACTAATTGGAAACTGAAACAGGAATCCACTGTTTGTTTCAGTCAATCTTCCCTTCTGATGACCAAGGTTTCCTAAAGTTAATGAAGTTATTTTACCGCAAACCATCATTTTTTCCCCTAAACATGACCAAGCTGTGTGTGTTCTTGAAACTAACCAAACCTTAACTGTAGCGCTGTCAGCTCAAAAAATGTTCATTTTAATTATTTTTTGTAACAGTTTTGAAGGGCATTCACAAACCATGTAGTCTTGCAGACAATGGCATCAGCTCATAAGACGTTTATATGGCTTCAGTTGGAAAACGATGACACACAAGGTCTTCTTTCATTAAATTTGGAGTTGACTTGTTGACATGTAAACTACTTTGAAACCTTTTGCTCTGCTTTTGTTCCAGGCTCCAGTTCAAGAACTTCAACTTAACAGCTTCATTTTTCAGAACCTTTGATGTTTTTGTCAGAAAATATGTTGTTCGTGCCAACATCCTCCCCCTCTGTAAGTCAAGTTCATGCCCCACCACTTGTCAGTCATTTTGATGATCTGTCTACTTTGAAATGGCATTCAGCCCGAGGCTGGCGTCTGCAAAACCCATCACAGGTACTGAAAAGAGCAGACGGTGAACACAGGCAATCTGCGATCTAAAAACAATGGCAATGTTCACTGTGGCTCCCAGCTGTCTTGTGTTAGCTTCTCTTTTCTTTGATTTTTCTGTGCTTTTATGGATCGTTGTTGCCAAGACTTTGCTGCGTTCAACAACCATAAGTTCTGAAAAAATGTCCCAAACTTGGCTGAAAGGACAAACGGAGAATGAGTGCATTGACCTCCAGAATTATAAAGACTCAACAGGTAAAAAAAAAAGATCTTATGTATTTGTTGTTTAACAATCAGAAATATCAGATTTAAACCTACCGAGCATGACGAAAGGGATGCCCAGGTATGTAGAGTTGTAGGTGGCCCCGGTCAGGTTGAGTATCCCAGCAGCAGTGAGGCCTGACAGTGTGATTGACAGCAAAGCCAGCAGTCCCAACCAGGGTTTGGACCTCACACAGTCCCTCATAGAGCAGCAGAGGACGGCCAGCACGCCACACACCCCCAAGCTGGCCAACAGGGGGCGACGTGCCAGCACCGAGGAAAACTGGAAGTCTGTCCTCAGAGAGGAGGAAGTGGAAGGGTAGAGCCCCAGCTTCGGGTGCAGCGCCGCAAAGTGCTGTAACTCTGCACAGAAGGCCTTTTCCCATTGGCCGGCCACCCGGTCCATCAGGCCGCCTCGGGCTTGGAGGTAGTAGGTGAGCTGCAATGCCCGCGCAGAACGTACACCTTCTCCCCTGGCTCCTGTCCCCAGACCTCGCACCGCCCCGCTGGGACCCCACCCCTGAACCCCACCCAGCTGGTGTCCGATGTACGCCTGCCGCCCGTCTGCCAGCTGCGTGATCGGGTACCGCAGGACTGGGACGGAGCGGTTGGAGGTGCGAGCTGATTGGATCTCCTCCATGGCGCGAATAATGTCATCGATGATGCAGACGTTCTTGTCGTCGGGGAGGCAGAGGTAAGAGAAGGAGTAGTTGAAGCTGTTGAAGCCTGTGGCCGGGACGGTCACCTGCATTTGGTAGATGCGTCTGTGGAGCTGTGTGCAGAAAAAACACACACAAACAACAGAGAGGTTCATTAAGTTAGCTTCCCAGTGGCCTCATTTTGTGTGACAAGTAAAGTAATAATTATAAAGAAAAAAGTTCCATCAAAGTTTCCCTGAGCAGAAGCTCATTCGCCTACTTTGTATACTTTGACTTTCTAGCTGCTCGTGTGAATAAGAGAGAGGGATGTGTGGGGGAACGTGTGCGTTTTACTCGACAGCATAACAATAGTGGTCTCTGATTCCTCCTCCGTTTCTATGGCGAGAGGACAACAGTGCCAGCATCCAGCACAGTACTGGTTACTAAGCAACAGGCCCGATGCCAGTCTCTGCCACAGCGAACATGGGCAGAGCTGTCTCCCACCTCAGAGTGCTGCATTGACTTCGGAGAGGGAGGGTGTGTGCGTGCGTGTGTGTGTGCGTGTGTGTGAAAACGGACTTGCGTTGAAAGTTACTTCCTTACAGCATCCTGTCCTTGTAAGATACGGACACTTTTAAAATTCCTCATTTAATTTTTGCCGCTTTTATTGCCAAATTATTCCAATCTGTCATTATCATTGTTAGCAGCTTCCTGGTGGGGCCTTAAAATTCCTCATCTGAGCGTCACTTACATGACCTTTAAAGGCCCAATCAGTAATATCTTGACCATATTAATTGCAGTTATACAGAACCGAATTCTTACATATACATACATAACTTAAATCTTTACAGACTAACCCTAACCCTAATACGAACAATTATTTGTCATGAGCTGATGTCTAAAGTGTGAATCCCTGTTTTAAAAGACTGTCATACGTTTTCATTATTACTTCTTGTCTTAAATAAAATGCATAATGTGTTTAAAAGTGTCTAAAATAATGTCCAGTGCATACAGAATATTTACATGTCATGAAGAGGTGCAGCTATAAAAACATAGTCTTGTGTTTGAATAGTATTTCACTCTGTAAACATCACATTGTTTAGATAAAGAGCTGAAGCAACATAACACATGACATATATGAGACGGTGAGAATGTAATAATAAGATTTTAACAACCTTAAAGCTGCTCTGACATGGAACTGAAGGGGTTAAATGTTAGTGAGTTTGTATATATCTTGTGCACATATCATATCTTTTATAATAACTGTATTTTTTAAAATGTGCAAACAAACAAATAAAAAAAATGAACCAAACTAAATACAATTTTATACCTGATTATTTTACATTTCTAAGCCCCTTCTGTTGTGTTCGTGTATCGTGACATCACATCAAGGTAGTTTTAGCACAGCTAGCACAGTGAAGACATACAGGAACAGAAAACAGCTGAAACACTCCGTTTTAATTTCTTCAACATCAAAGATCTATTTTTTTCAGTCGCAAGTGCTGCACAGACACTGATCAATGATATAGTCAATAAATATCCATTATAGAAGAGCAAGAGTTGCCAGTTTCTTCACCGACAGAGGCTTAAATAGACGAGTACACAGTGCAGTCAATGGGTGTGACTCACAAATCGTACTCTTATTTCAAGTGGGAACCGTGTCTAGTTCTTTCTCTTTGCTCTCTCTATCAACCGCTGTTGCTTTCTCCACCAACACCTACTGTGGACTCCTGCGTGCAACAAGTACAGGCACATTCGCAGAGGGATGCTGAAAAAGCTTTCCGGGTATATGTAAGAACTCGCAAACCAAAGTAGATGACGGGGCAAGTGGAGACGAATCTGACAGAATCTTGAACCTCGCAGATGATATGTAACAGTGTGAGATTATGTAACGGCCGATTTTTCACTTTCACAGCACTCTGTCTTTTATGCACCAACCTGCCAGGAAATGATGCACGGCCCTAAACTAGCCTGTCTCTAAGTGTGGCAGTCCTCAATGGACCAACACTGTGTTGTGGGTATTTGTGTAAAGTGGGTCGCGATAACTATATTTGACAAAGAGACACGTTGAGACAAGCGTGGACAGAGGAGACACAGCCCATACACAAAAGAGCTTGGTGTCTCAGGCCTATTAGTCAGCAAGCTCTGATTACAACCTCATAACTTAATGAAATCTTTTGGCTAATTGCTCCAGGGGTGTCAAGCTAATACTCATAAATCCATTTAGCAACAGCTACGTGGAGACAGAGGCCTCCGAGCTGCGGCTAACTCCACTTTGTAATTAAAGTGCTCTGCTTCACAACTATAAAGGTTGTCGGGGGCTGCTTGAGACTGGACCGTGTTGTTCTGTTTAATGACTATCAATCACTGACAATGAGGGGAAAGACAGCCTGCATACACTATGTGCTCTGGCCCTTCAGAAACTGACCTTTACCTCTTGTGTGTGTGTGTGTGTGTGTGTGTGTGTGTGTGTGTGTGTGTGTGTGTGTGAATGTGACCAGGAGTGGATTTGTTTTTTTTGTTTTATTTTTTTTAAGTTGGATTCTGCCAATTCATTGCAGCTTCAATTTGAGATGTTTTGCTGTGATTTAAAGGGGACACGAAGCTAAACTGGAAAGTGTCCGACCTTCTCCAGTGTTGTGTGTGTTAGATGGTTGGAGCCTCTCAACATTCTTAAATCATCCGTTAAATGTGTGTATGTTTGTGTGTGAGTTCTTGAATGCACAAATTGCCTCTGCAAATATATGTCATTGAAAATGTTTAAATTATGTCTATTATTATAGCATAAGGCTGTTTTTATTTATTTTCTATTTTATTTTTATCATCTATATTGTTTATTAGCACTTTTTATCTATTTTACCTTATTTATTTGTTTGTTTGTCAGGGCCAAACTCCATTGAAACAAGCTAAACTTCTCGAAATAGTTTGGAAATGTGTTTAAAATGAGTGTGCATACCTTTAGTATGGTGTCCAGGTGAACCGGGTCCAGCACACTCCCCTTCCGGGTGGTGACGATCACGCGCCCGTATCGGCCGGGCGTCTGCAGGTCGGAGTAGAGCGCGTGCTTGGAGCGGTTGACCGGGAACAGGCTGTCCACCAGGTTGCCCTCGATCTTGGCCAGGCTGTGTTTTGGCGCGAGCAGGCTCTCCACGTCCTCCTCCACGCGGTACCGGCTGAAGCTGGCCCCGAGCAGGATGGACAGGAGCACAGGAGCCGAGGCGAAGAAGACCGGGTGGCCCGCCACGAACCGGCCCAGCGCGTGGAAGGAGGTCCTCAGGCCCGCGTGCAACACCTGGCGCAGCATCCTAGCGCGCGGCCGCGGCTCGAGCCTCTCCCACCGACCGGAAAGCCCCGGAGCACTGCCGAGCATCAGGGGCTGCCGGACGCATCGGTGGGCTCCGTCGCTATCAGTCTGGGGGAGGAGAGGTGACGCCAGGTGGTGGGAGGATGTGTCCCCGGAGCAGGAGGTCACCAGCCGGGGAGAATCCAACCCTACTCCGGTCACAGGGGCAGCCCTTCCCCCGGGGTTCTCTCATCCGCTGGAATAGCTCAAAGGACAGAAGCTGCTAAATGAGCCAGCATTTCTCTGCTCTGCGGTTAGAAAGAATATTGATAGCCTACTTTACATTTAATAGCCACTACCCTGCTGCGTTCAATGCCTTCTGCACGCTGCACGGCTCTGTGCGCAACAGAAAAATCGCAGAGCCAAAGTGGGCTCATAATTAGACTTGTTTAGCTTCCCCTGAAAACTGACTAATGGGTTCAGTAGTTGTTTTGGTGCACTCGGACAGGTTGCACACATGCACGAAACTGGAGTCTGTACATACCTAAAGAGGGGAACCGAGGGGGGGACCGACCCGGTGATGACGGAGATCATCTAAGACGCATTCACACCAAGATGTTATCTTGCCGGCTGTCCGCGCGTCCAGCTCCACCCTGCATCACCAAGTCGCCACACAGCCTGATGTGTGGCCGAGGCGGGTTGGTTGGGTGGTTTGGTGGGAGTCGCAGGATCGCTGACGCGGTGTGCACGCACCGGGGATGCCGGTGGAGCTGTATGTCAAATCAGTCTAATCTGGGTTTCCTCTGCGGCAGAGGGCTTTCTGTCGTCCGTCCTCTCCTCTCCTCATCGCCCCGGTGGTTTTAGCGGAGCCCCTGTTTTCATCCGCCACCGGGCTGCACTCTCAGCAGCGACTGCTCCGCTCTGCTCCTCGGGAAGGCACGTCACTAATTACCGGCTTTCAAACCGGGGACAGTTTCTCTTTCTCTCTCTCTCTCTCTCTCTCTCTCTCTCTCTCTCTCTGTTTTTTTTTCTTCTTTTGCACCGCCCTCACGACCCGCTCTGAGCCCCCTTTTTTCTGCCCCGCCCCTCGCCGCTCCGCGCTGCTACAATGCAGAGAAACAAACAGTCATTTCATACGGAGTGAGTGGCAGCGTGTGTGACAGAGATGGAAAGATTAAAATATTTCTAGGAATTTAACGGATTAAAAATGTTTAATAGTGACCACTCTGTTGACATTTCCTCAGATATTCTCTATATTATAATATCTCCCTAATAATCAATATATAAAGATGTAATAAATGGTTAATAACAGACACAAATCTAAGTGTTTAACTCATCCCGGGGACTCCTATAAGTGGAGGCTGCTGTATTTAAACAGATAATGAATGATAATAAAGGTCCTTAAATTACAATTTATCTCCAAATAATCTCCTTGTTTCCTGGAAAGAAGCACATCATTTTCTACTAATTATGGGTAAAATATACAGTGATAAGTGTGAACACATCCAGTTATTTCTAAATACTAAACTAGCACAACCTTGAGACTTGCAAACTGTGAAAAGATCCCACAAACAAACAGTTCAGCATGTATGAATAAAGTTTCTAATAATAAATATATAAGTGATAAATATTAATTGGATTGTGCAATTTCTTTCATTGAAATTAAAACTACATTAAAGTGTGTAATAAACTGTTTGGTAAAGGTTTATATACTGATTATAAATGATAAATAAGGATTTTATGCCATTTTATTCTGCTTAAGGTGATATTCATAAGGTTGCTGGGATGTACACAAAAAATAAATATGTATGTATATATTTTTCATAAAAAGCCTTTAAAATGCACAACTGACCATTTCATTCTTTGACATGTTCGACCTTATGATTTTGCTCATAATCATATACATAATTGTCTTTTTGCTGCAGATGCATGAAGCATCTCTTTGGCTTGCTGTTGTGTAGCCCGTTGCTACGGAGACCAGACAAATTACTTTTCTTTTTTACACAGCCCTGGTTCCCATGGCAATGGTGATGCCACCCATCCCCCTCCCAAAACACACACACACACACACACACATACATACACAGTCGTGCACCCACACTACACACACACACACACACTCTCTCTTTCTCTGTCACACACAGAAACACACACCTGCTGACTCCCAATCTGCTTATGGAGTGGAGGTGTCTGATACAGTGGCATTAAAAGCAGAAGAGACACGCAGAGAGAGAGAGAGAGAGAGAGAGAGAGAGAGAGAGAGAGAGAGAAGAGGGAGCGGAGATAATAATGAGCGCAGACCGGCCGAGATCACATTCTTCCTGTCTGTCTTTGATTTGTGCTCCTTCCTCTCCCCAGATATCATATGAATCAAGGCAGTTTGGATTAAAAACATCCAAACACACAAAAACTTTTTCTTTACTCTGCACATGTTCACATTCATAAAAAAAAAAAGTTTAATAGTTAAATATAACACTTTATACGTTTTTTATTGCGTATTATTTTGCAATATTTCACTTGTTTTGCTATTCAATACATTTTCTTATGTCAGAAATTTCCATTTCTAATAAAGCAAAATTGAATTAGAAAATCAATGACATTTTCATTGATTCCTGCTGTGGAGATGATGCAGTAACTCTGCTCTGAGCAAAACATAAACATCAGGTTTTGTGTCAGTCAGTACACATCCATCCTCATTATATATTGGTAATTAGCTAATTTAATTCATTTAGTTAATAAAGATGATTAAATTATCCTGTTAAGCAGCAAGACATCCACTTGCAGCTTGCATCCACTTGTTGCTTCCCCTACAGACAATGTGAAAATGTGTCACATATATGAACCTACAAAAGAGTTTTCACCTGGGATCTGGGTTTTATAGTGAGTGTCAGCTGATTGCTTTGCTGTTCAGCCTGCACCTTTTTTTTACTGCTGGTGCTGGTTCACTCTCACTGCTCTCATTTAGGTTTTCAGCTTGCAGCAGCAAAACCTACTGTACACTACCCGCTCCTCAGCAAACAGCAGACGGACACAGTTAGCGACTCGCTGGTGAACATAGTGGAGCATTTAGCAGCTAAAGAGTCAGATATTTCCCTCAGGAGTTGGTGGAGAACAAAATCAGAGCTAAAAGAGGAAGATTAAGTGTTAACTAATACGGAATAGGAAAATATAACAGAGAATATACCAATAGCATGTGCTACAGAATCATAACAGAAACATTTGAGATATTAAATTGGCAAGAACTTGTCAAGGTATCTCACTTATTCCTTTAAAGACCATCAATGTAAAATTCAAAGATCAACATCTTCAATAATGGAAAGGAGGCAGGTAAAGCTCATTATACGAGAAGTCCTCCAACCTAAATGACTGTATAGGTTTCTGTTCCTGTGACCCATTTGAGTGTGTCAATCACATGACTTCCATCTTTGCTCCTGTCAAATTACCATGGCAACTAGGGGGCTAGAGGTCACTTGAAAGTAAATATGTTTCATCGCTGAGTAAAACATACTGTCACTATAGGTTGCAATAAGCTGCTTGCACAAATGACTGATGGAGAAGGGCTTAAGTGAGACGCTCAGCCCACAACTGCTTCACCAAGGTGTGAGCGCAGCCTGCTGGGAAAAACAACAAGCCCACGGCCACGAAAAAGTAAGATAAAAACTGAATTCAACACAGGAAACAACATCTGCGCGCATGTGCTTATGCATGTTTCTAATCCATTATTCAATTAAGCCTCAATTAGCCTTTAATCCCCATTACCAGTCCAGTGAGAGACGAGCGGCGAAGGAATGAATGAGTAAGTGTCTCCCCGGGGAGAAAGGAAGAGCAGAATAGAAAATGAAAGACTGCTGAGATATAAGGGGCTCGGGGCAGTTTCTGATAACAAAAGTACTAATTAGTGTTGCTAAATGATTTATAGAAATCAGAATAGTGTGTGTGTGTGTGTGTGTGTGTGTGTGTGTGTGTGTGCATGTGTGTGTGTGTGTGTGTGAGACAGAAAGAGAAAGGTGGTAGAAAATGAATAGAGTCCTTTGAAAGCGTGTCCATTTTTACCGGGCTAATTTTCTGCACCTACAGAACCGAGGAGAGGGAAAGTCCTCCAGGGGGTTGGAAACTGTGGCTGACAAATACACTTACACACTTTGACACACTTCGACACACACACACACACGCACGCACACACACACAAGATGGACAGATGAGGGAAATAGTACAGGCAGCAAAAAAGGGCAAGCAGCTCTTATGATTTCACTCTGGACAGGCTGTCATTCTGTGTGTCCATTTTCGGGCTGCACATTTCATTCGCCCTCACGTTTGTCCATCTGCATGACATCTTCCCTCCATTATTAAAGACTTCTATATGGATGCAGAGTTGGTAGAGGACAGACATTCATGAATAAGGCTCCTCTCTCTGCATTCATACTCCTCTGAACCCTCCCGCCCTCCTTTTTATTTTCTCCTCCACCCCTCCCATCCCCCAGTCCATCTGTTTTGGTGGAGGCCATCCATTAATAAAGAGTCTGTCCCTTCATTTCTATTTCCCTCCTTCTGGATTATTTATTTACCCATCTATGTGTAGTTATGGTGAGCAGATATGACTGCCAGATTGGGATTGCGGCAGATCAGATCCGCCTTCCTCTCGGATGAAAACTGCGCAAGAACTTTGCCCATTATGAGCAATGAAAACTTCATTTCATCTAAATGCCTTGCCTGTTTGTTATATTCCAAATATGGAAAATTACAATCCACCGAGGTTCATAATTCTTCTAAACTGTCACAGCAACGTTTTAATACAGGCCCTGTTTGGCAGCTCCTCCGATTCAAATGAAGTAAATTTGCAAAGCGTAGGTGTTACAGCAGCTGAGTCAGTTCAAATGCAGGAAACCTTCCTGATTAAAGGGATTCATAATGTGATCGCTGGAGAAGATGGTGAAATTATTTCTAAAAATGCTAATGACTGTAATTAACTTCTCACATTCAAACTTTTAAAACTGTCTTTATGGAGCGTTTACGCATAAATTTGAATAAATGCAACAATAATGAAGCCCATTTAAAGCTGCGAACGTCCACCTTTCCGACAGGATTTAACCTAAATACTGTCTTTGAGAAATGATCCAGATGTAGGCATTTTGTCACATCCTCTAATACAGAGGATTTCAAAGTAGGAGGTGGGACTCGCCAGGGGAGATCACGTAAATTAGACTGAATGAGTGTGATCTGGTTAAAGACATAGTTCAGAGATCCAGTTGTGTTGGGGAATTTTACTATTTTTCCAAGTTTCCCAGAGTCAGAAACTAATAAAAGCATTAGGACATGAGTGTATCTGGTTTAATCTCAAATTATGTGAAA